TATACTCAGATAAAAGCATACATGTACACCCATATATGCACACATCTACACAATCACACACAATATTCTTTACATACATGCACACACCATACATAATATATACATTAACCTACACAATATACATAAATTGCATAAACTTCACAAACTGTTATATTCATACGCAATTTTAAAAAGGTGCGTCTTAAGCTTTTTTAAAAACATCAATTTAGGGGGATTCTTTCACTTTATTTGGGAGACAATTGCAAATTTTTACAGCATATTGACTAAAAGAAGTGCCGCCAGATCGCATCAGATTTAAAGAGTGAAATTCTAAAAGTCGAGCGCTAGAAGAGCATAGAAAACAGTTCGGATTAAATTTTGATAAGCTGTCAGAAAAGTATGAAGGTGTCATGTTGTGTAGTGCCTTAAACTAATAAAATAATCTTAAAATCTATTCTATTAATGCTGGTGTGATATGTTCGCGTGTCTTCAATTTCATTAAAACTCTGGCTGCTGTATTTTGTATCAGTTACAACGTCTTTATAGAACCTATAGGTAAACAATATAATATTAGCACTATTTAATTGGTTATAAACAATGCTGTACTTTGATGGTTGTTGGCTGCTAATATAATTTTACTATTTAGAATTTCCAATGAATACTCTTCTGAAATTATATTATTAATGAGAGACTGAATGTGCGAATATAAAACCAACTTTAACTCAATGATAAAATGACAGAGAAAAGGACAATGGACATAAGATAGTTTTTCAGTGCACCTAAACAACAAGTACAAAAAGTTCACATATTAAGCCTATTTGGCATTGAGAATGAGTGCTTATGAAAATACTAATGTCACATTATCAATCACAGGCAGAGGAGAAAGAAATGATCGAGGAACCTCACAGGCTCACTGATTTACAATATGATCTGCCAATTTAACAAGTGTAATGTAAACAAGTTAGTTATTATGATAATAGAAAATGTCTTTTCCTGCATTTATTCTGCTTTAGGAGTCAGTCTGTTGAGTATAAACAACACAACAAATAATGCAAGAAATAGTTTTCAAGAAAAATTTGCTGTCATTGAACCTGAGAAAAACTTTGAAAATAACCATAATGATGTAGTCTCCATGCTGTAATATGAACAATTAAACCATTTTTAACTGTGGGGACATATATTTAGAAGTACAATTTGGCTGTATTATTTGTGTCCACTTCAAAAAATTGCTCATAAGAAATTTTATAATTATTATCCCCCCTAATGTTAAATCAAATTAATGGTCATGGGCACACCACGTCTAATCCTCTTTGCCATTGAAAAGCATGAGGAAGCATCTGCAGGTATGTAAGCTAGCCTTACCTTGTTTTATAAAAGCAAAAATGTTTTTGTCAGTATCATGAGTGCACAGAAATAAAAACACTCTTTCATTTCCAATTATATGTTATGACTCACAAAGTTATCGATTTGGGAATTTCAGGGCACCAGCAGACTCCTCTGACCAAAGAGATGTTATCACATTTAACAGTGTTGCTAGCTTAACTACATTTCTCAGTAGAGTGGCGGTAGCGTCGCTAAAAAATCAAATAGCTTTTCACAGTAGCGAAGCTTTTTTATTAGTGAAGTAGCGTAGTAGTGTCCACACAAGCTACACTAACAGATCGCGGATCAATAGTGTTTTAAATGTGTAACACCTGGTTTTATTAGATTTTATTGTTTTTGCTGATATGTACTATAATTTATTCCTGTTTGGTACAGCATATTAGTTACAGTAAATAATTGAAATGAACAGTTCTGCCTCATATGTTTCATTGGCAGTTTTATTGATCACTAAGATGTGATTGAATTACCTGCACAACTAGTTAAAATTTAGATTTTTGTAACAACAGTAAACATGTTTTTGTGATGAGGTCTGGTTTTGTGGAGGCTCTACTTTAAATTTGAATTAATGAAATTAATTTTATTTAAGTGATGAAAGCTTTTGAGATTTCAACAGTAAACAGAGCTAATGCAAGCTCACTCCTGCTCTGTATAAATGCTTGAAAATTTAGTTGAAATTGTTTATTAGAAAATTAAAAGTAATCAAAAAGTAATCAAATGTAATTAGTTACTTTACTTTTATAAAGTAATCAAAAATTACTGTAACTTATTACATTTTAAATAGGGTAATTTTTAATCTGTAATTTATTACATTTCCAAAGTAACCTTCCCAACACTGCTAGCCAATGACGCCACTCTTCCAATGCAAGCTTGACGACCAACAGCTCTCGATTACCAATATCATAATTTTGTTCTGCATTGTTGAGACGATGAGAAAAATATGCGCAGGAATGCATCTTGCCATCCGAGGAAGAGCGCTGGGACAGGATAGCACCGACCCCCACATCTGATGCGTCAACCTCCACCACGAACTTCCGTGATGGATCAGGGGCAATAAGAAAAGGTGCTGAAACAAAGCAGCTTTTCAGACGATCAAATGCAACTTGCGCTGCAAGAACGGAGTCTTGATGGAGCTTAAGGCAGTCAGAGGCGCGACGAGCTGGCTGAAGTTGCGGATGAAACACCGGTAAAAATTGGCAAAACCAAGAAACCTCTGCAGGGCCTTGCGGGAATCTGGGGTTGGCCAATCTACCACAGCCTGAACTTTCTCTGGATCCATGCGCATCCCCTCGACTAACACGATATGTCCCAGAAAAGGAACAGACTGCATAAAAAACGCATTTTTCCGCCTTGACATAAAGCCCATTCTCTAGCAGCCTCTGAAGCACTCGCCTGACGTGCTGAACATGTTCCTGGAGAGAATGAGAAAATATCAGTATGTCATCCAGGTAAACATAAATTAACTGATTAAGCATATCTCTCAACACGTCATTCACGAGTGCTTGGAAGGCTGCAGGGGCGTTGGACAGATCGAAAGGAAGAACACAATACTCGAAGTGCCCCCTGGGGGTATTAAAGGCAGTCTTCCATTCATCGCCTTCTCGAATGCGGACCAAATGGTAAGCGTTGCGGACTAATTTCGTGAAAAAGGATGCCCCCTGCAGACGTTCGAAGGCAGAAGACATCAGCGGCAAAGGATAAGTGTTCTTTACCGTGATAGCATTCAGCCCTCGGTAGTCTATACAAGGACGGAGGGAGCCATCTTTCTTTTTCACGAAAAAAACCCCCGCCCCTGCTGGTGATGAAGAAGGGCGGATGATCTTGGCTGCTAGAGAATCAGAAATATATTTCTCCATGGCCTCCCTCTCTGGAACAGAGAGCGATTAAAGTTTGCCTTTAGGCAGAGACGTACCTGGCAATAACTCTATAGCACAGTCATAGGGAAGATGTGGAGGCAGAGAAGCAGACAACAAACACGTAGCATGACAGCTCTCACTCCAAGAAATTACAGATTCCTGTCTCCAGTTAATATGTGGATTGTGTATTACCAGCCAAGGACGCCCAAGGACTACTGGAGTGACAGGAGCTTCTGTTAAAAAAAAATGAATAATTTCAGAGTGGTTACCAGAGGTGATCAGTCATATAGGACCAGTGGAATGAGTAATGGAAGGAAGAGAAGAACCATTAAGAGCATGAACAGATATAGGTTGGGAGAGAGAAATCACAGGAAGTCTGAGTTTTTTCACTAAAGCAGAGTCAGTAAAATTTCCCTCTGCCCCAGAGTCAATAATTGCTTGAGTACTAAAATTGCCAGATGACCACTCCAACATAACATTCAAAAGAGTAGCTGCAAGGGAAGATTTGTTCAAAGATACTCAACCCGTCTGTATACTCTTTTCTACTGCGCACGTCGAGTGTTTCTCTCCCTGAGCTAAAGACGAGAATCCACACGAATGGCCAGATCGATGAGTTCGTCCAGGGTCTTAGGAAGATCCAGGGTGAATATTTTAACCTTTATCTGGTCTGCCAGCCCGTGGAGAAAGACGTCCCACTGCGCCTGCGCGTTCCATTCGCTCTCGGCCGCCAGGGTGCGGAACTCAATGGAGTATTCAGCGACACTCCGTTGCCCCTGCTGCAACTCCGTAAGCACCCGTGCCGCCTCTCTGCCCGCCAAACCTCGATCGAACCCTGATACCTTTTTAAGCTTTGCCGAAAAGGTATCAAATGAAGAGCAACAAGGGAGTTTCCTCTCCCACACAGCAGTTCCCCACTGCGCTGCTCTCCCAGTGAGAAGCGTGATGACAAACGCCACTTTCCATTCCTCCGTGGAAAACGAGGAAGGCTGCAGGGAAAAGTATAATGAGCACTTCGCTAAAAAGGCGCGACAAAACTTAGGCTCTCCGGAGTAGAACGCTGGAGGTGGAAGGCGAGGCTCGAAAAATCCAGCTGTTCGCTCAGGAACCAGCATAACAGGTGGACTAAGGTTAGTTGCAACAGGCTGCTGAAGACCGACAGCATGAAGACGTTGCAACCGTGTTGTGAGATCAGTGATCTGAGTGACAAGCGCTTGGACAGCGCGACTGATGGTGACCATCTGATCATCATGTCTGTTCATGCGTGTGGTAGCGTGTGCAACAACTTCAGCCAGGCCGGAGATACTCGCTGGATCCATGTTTGATCAGTCCGTTCTGTCATGACTCTTAGACAAGGAGGATCCAAATGCGAGTATTTTAATGAACAAAGCACACATGAAAGTTCAAACAAAAGAAAGCCACAGGCCACGATGAAGACATCAAACGGACAGCGAAGGATACTGGGAGACAACAGTCAAGAACAAACACAAACAAGGACAACCAACGGATTGATAACCAGCACATACCACAGGAGGAAATATATAGCCAGCCAAATGAGGTTCAGCTGGAGGATGATAAGTCAGCTGATGACATCAGCTGATCCTAGCACGCTGTCAACACAAAAGGTAAACAAACACACACCCTCACACATGACAACACACAAGGCATGATACATAACATACAGGAGGAACACACATATCCATAAATCGTGACAATATGAAATGAGAGAAGAACAACAGTCCTTTGGTTTTGATAACATCTCATGGTAAGCTATTAAGCGGTATTCTAATTATTGTCTTGTCAAAACAATACACTATAGAGGTTGTAAATGTTTTTTTTTTATTACAGTGAGGAGGACGTAATTCAATATGCAGCAGCACAGATAAATGCCACAAAAACATTTGAATTATGCGTGTCACGAGACAACATGGTTGAGAGAGGTCTAAAGATGTTGAAACGGCAAAAAATAGGAAGCCCTGTCAATCCCTTGAAAATTAGCTTCCTGGGAGAACACGGAGTTGACACAGGGGCACTGAGGAAAGAGTTTCTTACCAGTGTGTAGTATGCTTTTTTATATACCCTAAAATTGTTTTCAACCCAACCCCTATATATTTATATACACAAGCTGTTCTGTCACTTTGTTGCCTAAAACTTCCCTTTTCCCCTCACACATTTAGCAATTGTTGCCGGCTTTGAAAAACGTCTCTTTGAAGGTGATTCAAAGAATGGAAAAATGCCTAAGTACTCCCTGAATGATCTCGATAATGAGCTGTTCAAGTAAGTGTCTTACCTTTTGGATTAAAGCTTCACTTCATATTTACAAAATTCATTTTCAATAATTTAACGCTTGGTAAATAATGTTGGGATTTTAATTATAGCAGTAATTTTTGTGTTGATAAATGTGTATTTGAAGTGAAGCACTACAAACAAATGTCATCTGTATATGGTATAATTAATGATGAATCATTTATATAAGTAAATGATTATACTATAAGTAGTATAATGCCCTTTCATCATCTATTGCTAACATATATATATCCTTGAACTAGAGTTGCAGGTGAAATATTTGCTGTGAGCATTGCCCAAGGAGGACCAGCCCCATGGTTTATGCAAGAATGGTGTTATGAATACCTTGCAACTGGTAACATCAGACGGGATGGAGTACATGACACAGAGATATCACCACTAATTAAAATGGTAGGTCGACAGAATTTCATTTAATACGTTTGCTGGAAAAATTAATCATATTATCAATTATTGTCATTTTTTTGCTAAAATTGAACCATGCTTATTAATTAATATTGAATACAGGTAAAATATTGCTTCAAATTGATTTAGATTGAAGACCCATCTGACCTGACCACTTACACAAAAAGAAATCTTGGACTGTGGCTACACTGGACCAGTCAACACTGAGCATAAAGAAAGCATATTAAGGGATGTTATAACTACGAATACATAAACTTTTATTTACAATATGATTTGATGTTAAAATCCAAATATTAAAGTGGAAGTGAAGCACTCAGTAAAGTTTACACTATTTTGTACATTGGTTTCCACTTTAATGAAAATATATTAAACAAACCTGATAAAAATCTCGAACCCATCGAAAACTGTGACCACGGAGTAATGTTCACTCATGAACGTGCAGACACTGAAATCAAATGATCAGCATAGATCAGTAAAAGGATGTTTTAAATTCTGGGATTAGAAAAACAGGTTCATTGAAGAACTTTAATGTAGTCTTGACTTTTGCCCATCCAAATTCTTGTAAGGAAGAAAAAAAATGTATTTGGTCTCTGTTGTTGTCTATACTGGTAGATTCATAGTTTGTAGTTAAATAACAATTTAATTACATTGATATTCCCCCAGGAAATTTTTATGTTTTTCTAGACAGAAAATAATAATTTCAAGTTAGAAATGTGTTACTGTACCATACGGATAAAGTTTGGTGGTCTTTTTTGTTTAACTGTTTATGTGTTTAAAATTGGTGTCAGACCAGATAATAGATAATAATTTTACAAAATAATAAAATAAAATACAGTTAGGGAGAGTGGGTATAAATGCAAAACGGGAGACACAAAGAAATCCCATATTCATAATCAAACACTATTTCATTATTGTATAATATTGAAATTTATTACTGCATACATATATAAATATGTATATGTGGCATAACCAAGGGGTTCAATAATGTTCAACAGCTAGCACGACTACGCCACCCTGGAATATGGCCATGGACCTATATTTTATATTATAAAAGGCAACGCAGGTAAGCTTGCAGTAAATGGCAAGAGACGTGGATTGGAAAAAATACATACAAACTTTATTTTTTTTTAAAAAATGCATCAAAAAAGGGGACAATGTATATACTGTTTAAATTCAATAAAACCCATCTACTAAAAATACACTACACGCACACACTAAAACACCTGGATTTAGGAGTGCAGGAGCTGAGACGTGACAGCAGAGAATAAGGGCACAACAAGGCCTCCACAGCAAGACCACCAAGACCTGTGACACACACACACACACACAGCGCATACACACAGCACACGTGCAAGAAAGACCTCCACCAGGAATCCACCCTGCCTTAGGTGCTCTGCTCCTGAAAACACAAAATCCAGTTACTACAAAGTTTTAATAAACTGGTCACTGACACTCTAACACACAATCACTTGGCCGCACAACACACTGCAATGCTAATGGATTACAACCCCTCTTAATAAACCCTCTGCTGAAGAAGCAACCCAAAAATACAAAATATAAAAGGAAGACACAAAAGGGTTAAACAGTCTTGAATATACATACACGAAGACTGTTACAAAAAAACAAACAAATACCATTTCATCAAAGCATACAAAAAAAACAATGTAACAGAAAGAAATCACATTAGAAACTACTAATTTCAAGGAAACCAACACAAAAGTAAAAAATAAATATATATCTAACAAAACTAGGCGAAATTACCCAAATAAAAGAAAAAAAGAACACAAGGACCATTCAAATCGGTCAACCACAACCTTCAAATATACGGTCCTAGCACTGAGTGTGTAGGGAAACTGATGTTTACTACATTAAAACAGCATCATCCCCAAAAATACTTAAACAGCATCAAAGCAGCAGTTAAACAGCAGTAAAGCAGCAGTTAAGCCGCGGTTAAGCAGCAGTTAAGCCGCGGGTAAGCAGCAGTTAAACAGCAGTAAAAGCAGCAGTTAAGCCGCAGTTAAACAGCAGTAAAAGCAGCAGTTAAGCCGCGGTTAAGTAGCAGTTAAGCCGCGGGTAAGCAGCAGCGTCGTTTAGAAACCTCCCACGTAGCTATAGGTTGTCATACGGCACCCAGCACTCATTTTCGGTCTGTAAAATGGTAAGGGGATTTAAGTTAGATTGAGTGCATGAACAAGCTAATCCCAAGATTTTAAAATCACTTACCGCAACACTCAATTTCGCCTAATCAAGAGCATCAAAACGCCCACACAGAGGAAAACGGGCTCAATCAATCATTAATAAGTCCTAAACATATCCGTTGGGCTAAACGTAGTTTTGTAACGCAGTAAAACGAACTGCTGACTGCAAAGGAGGGAGGAAACAAATAATGATCATCACTTTACTACAATCAACTTTCCATCCAAAAAGCAACGAGCAAACGCAGCCAGTTACCTGCAGAAGAGCAGCCGTAGATGCCCACCAACACCGTGATCCCGATAAGACGCACCACTAAACAAACATACAACACATGAGCTTTCCCAATGAAGCAACCCGTACACAGGCGAGCTGTCATCCACATACCTGCCGGCGAGTGACTGAAAGCGGGAAGTGACCAGTCGGAAGGGGCGGGACTCGTGACACATACCATCCTGGTTGTCATTTTATATCTTCCCCCACTGATTACTAATAGGGTAGGGGGTATGCCACCCGCAACCACAGAGGGGCGGCGCTTGTCTGGCCACATATATATCTGGGGTAGACAGGTGTAAAGAGGTAAAAAAGATTATTTGCATTATGGACAGAAAACAACCTTGTCTGCTGTCCTAATGATACTTTGTACATTTTTTAAATGGAATCTTTGAAAACGGATATGATTGTTTTACAGGGATGACACACTTCTATGGCTATAAATTTTATCTGTATCACATGTAATTAGCATTTGTAATGATACACATGATTTTATATGATGCATATAATGAGGCTTAGTTCCTTTAATAATCTGGGTTTGCCACAGCGGAATCAACCGCCAACTTATCCAGCATATGTTATATGTCAAAACAACACAGTTCCCTCAGCTTAACACATACAGTGTAAATAATGGACTGAACACAGAGACTGTAAAGCTTAATAAAACCCTATGCATGAAGGAAGTGCATCAAAAATAAAAAAGCTGGTGCTAATACAAGCATCAAAGTTGTGTCTAATACATACAAAAATATTAATACGTTTTCTATTTTTCTTTTTTTATGTTTGTATGATGCGCTTTGGTCTACTCTCTCACACTTTTGCAGTGCTGCCTTATGAAAGGATTTACATCTAGACTAATGCAACAATTAAAGCACAAGTTGATCAACTTGATCTAGCAACATCTATGAAGGATGTAAAAATCTGCAATGTGAAAAACTATGTTGATCTTAGTTTGGTTTTAACATGAAGAGGTGAGAAGCTGTAGCAGTGAAAAGTGAAAGTAGGTAGCAGCCAGGATAAAACAGAGAGTGAACCAAAGCGCATCAAATGATCGGTAACTAAAAAGGAAAAATGTAATAAATATATATTTTTTATATTAGATAGACATCTGATGCTTGATGCTGATCTGTTGAACGTGTGTTAAATTAGGCTGTTCTGTCTCAGTATTCAGTCCATTAGTTCCACTGTATCTGTTTAGCTAAGGGAACAACACCAACACTGTGACGTCAGACAGTGATATTCCAAGATGGCAGCACCCTAGCTTCAAAAACTATAGGAAAACATGCTTATTGTAATGGTTACATAAATCAAATTTGTTTAATATATTTTCACTGAAGTGGAAATCAATTTACAAAATAATATAAACTAGACTGGGCGCTTCATTTCCACTTCAGTGTATCAAGTATTAAATATTAATGTTTCAGATCAACTCAGAGGAAAATATTACTAATTACCTATTACTAAAAACTAGATCTCACACACTCATAAATATCTCAGCTTCAACTATTGACTCGACTACTGTTAAAACAAAACTGTGCAGAGCTGCAACCCTTCAGAAACTGAGTTTGGCAGCTGTGGTCTAGTTGATAGATGATTGACATGGAGAGGTCAATCCCATACTTGATTGTAATATAAAGATTTTAAAATTAATTATAAATAGTTCTAATTATTGATTATTTAATTTTGATACATGTGATACATATTCCTTGGATTATATAGCAGAATTGGTAACATTGAGATTAACATGAGTTGTAAAGTTAATGTACTGTTGATACAAAAATCTGTGCTGAATTGTGCTGATGCTAAAAGATCCCGTTATGTTGCCACAATAATTTGTGCTTAGTTCTGCCTTGGTGTTGGGTTGCAGTTCACAGGCTTTTTCTTTAGCACTTTGTTTGCTCGTTGAGAGAGGATATTGTGTTTGTAATATGTAAGAAATAATTATCTGTCTCATGTGAGGTTGATACATTACATAATATTTTTTGTCTTTCAGAGCACTTCCTCTACATATCTCCACAAAACGCATTCCAATGCTGCAACAACTCCGTGAAGGCCTTCAGATTTATGATCTTATCAAAATCATGCAAGCCAAACCACGTGAGTGTCATGACCTGTTTGTTATAGGTAATGATGACAAAGTAGGTATAAATAATGTGTTGTTCATTCATTCACTTTGCTTTTTTGTTTTATGGCTTAAATGACAGATATTAAAATCTATTTGACTTTGTTTAGGTTGATGCCCATTACATTTCATCCCACCTAGCCCCAGAGATGAGCCCCACTGTTCACTTAAACAAGTAAATGAGTCCAAAATCTTGGAATTCTTCCAAGATTTCTTACTTGAACTTGAAGGTATGGACAACCATTAAATTTTATTTGCTTATATTGAAGTCCAGAGGCCTGTCCTTCTTGCCTTGTTCAGTACATCTGAGATGATTTGGCAGGTGCAGAATCTTTGAAATATGCCATAGAATGCATTGACATATTGTTTATAAACATAACTGTTCTCTGATAAT